GATTACTCCAATATGCGGTCTTTCGTGAAAAATATGTCTTTGCATGAAAATAATGTGTAACTGTATGTGCATTATATCAAAACGAGTGAATAATTGTATTAGGCGAAGTGGTGGTCGGCCTTGCCTGACTGGAATGTTCTTACTTATTTATTTTAATTTATGAATTAACTTTGACTCTATTAAAGTTCATGACGAACCTTATCATCTGAATTTAATGTAAAAAATATAAAAAGATATATTTTAGAGTTTCTACATATCTTTTTTTTTTTTTTTGTTTTTATCTGTCCAATCATTCAGGGGATGACTCTTATTCGCGTAAGAGATTTGAAAAAAATGTTGTTTCAACGTATGATTTGGTCATTCAAATATTCTTCACGATACATCTTAGAGGAGCCGATCCTTCTAATGTAATTTACGTTGGCTTGGCGATGTTGATATTTGTTTTGAAAGCGTCAAGCGTTTGAGGTTTGCTCGTACAAAACCCGTAACTGCACAAAAAGAAAAATCCAGCGACGAGAAATCGCACGATCTTAGTGGTCAATACGCATCATGAAAGAGAAATTTCTCGTGCAACATTGGCAAAACAGGGTGCGTTATGCGGGTTCATGTCGATATCATATGGTTTATGCCCCAAAAAATCAGCAGTCATCGTTTGTCAAGTTCCCCAATGATAACTGGTTTCTCAAAAATGACATTTTCAACTCACAAACCACACCCAAAGCCTAATTTTTTTTACACCTAAAGGTCTTTTTGGTATAGAACGTACACTTTCTTTACACAGAAAGGCCGATTTTCCTTATGTACCACACATAGTAAGCAAAATTTAGCCCAGAACTGTGAAGCAACTGTGTATTCGTCAATGGTCGTTCGGCAAGCAATAGTGAATACAAATACCAATTTTGATGGGAAACAGAAAAAACACATAGACGGTGTGACATTTTTAAAAAAGAATCTCTTAGTTGATGATCTTGGATTTTCTGAAAGTGTGATAAAATTCTGATGACCGTCGGACAATTTTTAAAAGATAAATTGAAAACAAGTAAGACGCTATCATATTGGATGATAGCTGTACAGTGTTTATACAACTTTTAAATCTCTAGCTCAATAACGTCAACTCGGCTTTCATTTTATTATCATAAGTTTTTCTTTGTTCTGCTATTAAAAACGTTATCGTAGCTGGCAATAGCCTACAACTGCATCCGATTTTTTCCATTTGTTTATGGGTATTGGGACGTTATTCACAGAATATTCATGGAAATTTTGGTCGCTAAATCCGTTGAAGTACCAAAAGAATATTTTCTTTCTCTGCATGAACAAAGTTTGCATATTTTCTTAACGCGGTCTAGTCTGAATCCCCAGCAGACAAGCAATCTGTTGATGTAAAACAATTGTTTAAAAAAAACAAAAAAGACAAAAGTAAGAGGGAAAAGGTTCCTTGGCATCTGCTAATGTTGTAAAATTAAAATATATTCAGACATCGCTATTCAAAATGGGTAAAGAAAAGATAGAAAATAAAATAGCACTAGAAATTAAGAATATGAGAAATCAAAATAAATAAATAAAAAGCTATACAAAAATAGAATAAATTGAAATAAATAAACGTCACTCTAACAAAAGCAATGAGTTATTTTTCGTTTCAGAAAAAGGTTTTCACCAGCCTTGAGTTTCAGAAATATATTGAAATGAAATGTTTTTATGCCAAATGGCAAAAGAACAGCGGAATGTGTTGACGAAAGATAGAAACAAAAAAAAAAAAAAAAAAAAAAAAAGAAATCTTAAAATAAATGTTTTATTTTTAAAGTTAAACGATTGGAATAAAAAAAAAATGAATGCAAAGAAAATAAATAACAAAATTAAATAAAAAAATTTGCAGGTGAATTTAAAAAGAGCTTAGTTGCTCTTGGAAGGAAACATATATTTCTCCCTCAGAACGGGATCACTATTTATAATATTGAATTGAAGGAGTTGTCGCTTCCTTTTCTACATATGTGATAAATACAGGCATTGAAATGCTCCTGGGAAACATCGTTCGTGCAAATCTTTTATGTTAAGAGAACATATTAGGCTTTAAGTGATTCATGTCAAAGCATATACATTTTAATCAATTTGAGGACAAACCAATTTGAGGAGCAACTCTTGTCTTTTTCCTCAGCAAACTAGCGACCTGATGTAGCGCATCATAATCAATTTTATTTATAACAAATTTGCTTAGGGCTTTTCCTATTTCATTTCGGGTCCCTCGAATGTCATAGAAGCGAGTTTTTTTTTTTATAATGAATTCCTTTGATAATGAGAGATCCTTTCCTAATGAGAGATTCTTTTTAGAGCGATTTTGCTGACTTTGGCGGGCAGACTGTACGAATTCGCTCAGGTGACAAGCCTCATTGACACGTAGGGAAAATGGCATGAAAAGCTGAATGTAGCTGCTATATTGTTACGCCTTGAATTCAATAGAAAAGCTTCACTAAAAAGCAAACTTTGCAAGGGGTTACATTGGCGCTGTATAATTTCTAACCAACCAAAACTTTAATTTGCTTCTATAAGAATTAACTGACGCAACATGACTGCTTTTGCGGAATAATCATCTGGAGGTTACCGATTGAGTCCTGAAGTTAATTAGCTATTAGGTTGTTCGGAAAAATATTACCATTTTTTTTTTTTTTTTGTCAAAATCCAATCTAATTGTCACTTTTTCGAAACTGCTCCGGCTTTCTTTCTCAAAGAACTTCACACAAACGATGCATAACGTAACGAATTCATAGCGCAGAATAACGCGACAATTGAAGAAAACGGTTAACATTAGTTTGATTTTTGAACGATTTTGGTGCGGTTTTTTCGGTCTTGATTCATCTTTCCGCGCTATTGATAGGTTGTCTCACGGTCGTATACGCAAGTCCAAATCTCATCCTATTTCATTTCACAAAGAAAATTTAATGCAAGTTCTTTGCGCAATAAAATCACAGATCGTAAAAAAATGTATCTTGCAAAACCGAAAGCACCTGAAATACTAATGAAGTTCATTTGTCGATATCTGTGACAGTGTTATCAATTTAGAAAAGAAATATTTCCGATATTCGATATATGTTCCCGCAATTAACTGCGATATTGTTCTTATTTTTTGAGCACAGTATCGATCGACTTTGACCAATTTCGCGAATTATTTTTCGACGGTTTGCTTAATGCTTTTATTGTCACATATATATGGGCCGATAGCCTGTGTTGCTAGTGCTCAATGTCTTTTTCTTAGTCTAAAAATTTATTTTTTAGTTTAAAATTATAATAATAACAATACATTAACATGTAAAGTGTGGGCAGAAGTGATCAGAAAAAATTGTTAAGTAAAACGTCTCAGAACTTATGAAAAGTTGTAATTTCCGCCGCCAACTTCTTTGATATATTTTTCATATGCTATCATTACTTAATCCTAAGGCCCCAAGTAGCAAAAACGGCGCAGGCATAATGCTTGACCCTTAAGCCCGACTGCATATACAAAATATATTTTTATATTATATGTAAAATAGATGTACCCAGTATTTATTTCATAGCTTATGAAAAAGCCTTTAACGAAGTATAGCATGATAAATTAATAGATATCCTGAAAGGTCTTCCTATTAATGGAAGAGATGTACGCTGCATCAAAAATTTTTATTGGCAACAAACAGCACAAGTCGAAGAAATTATATTCCTACAGACGAGGAGCTCTACTCTCCTTTTTAACGTCCACACTAAGGTGATTTTTTAAGAAACAATTGAAGCAATCGAAACAGGCGTTAAAGTCAATAGACAAGTCGTTAAAAACATCCGACTTGCCGATTACGCAATTATTCTAGCAGATAATATGCAGGATCTGCAGATGATGGCTCAAGCTGTAAATGATCAAAGGAATAGCTATCGGTTAAACTTAAATATTAGCAAAACCGAATTTGTGATAGCAAGTCGAACGAAAACTTCATACTCTATCAATTAATAATCAAAATGTAGAAAGGGCTTCCAAGTTTACCTATCCCTTGGATCTATATTACCGAGAAATAGAGAGAAGATGAAATGGCTAAACTATCGTACACGATGTATCAGAACATTGTAGTAAGTCGAGAAATTAGGTTACCACTACGCGTTCGTTATATATTCTTAAAATATCATGGGCAGATCGCGTATCCAATGCTGCAGTCCTGACAAAACTAAACTTTCAGCTCTTAAAGTGTACAAGGAAACGAAAAACTGTGTATTGTGGACACATGGTACGTGGAGAAAAATAAGAACTCCTACACCGAACAGTTGAAGGCCGTACTGAAAGGCTTGGAGGCATGGACGGCAAACAAATGTCATGGCTGCGTAATATTCGAAATTGCACAGGACTGAAAACCTGAGGTGAAATCGTGCACACAACAAGGAGCCAAAAAGACTTTTGGCCTTTAGTTAGTAATATAACTTGGTATGCAATAATATCACGAATGTAAAAAAAAAAAAAGAAAAAGGTGATCACTTATTTGCATGAGTAATAAAAGAAGAAGAAGAAGTATTTACAAAGCTGCGTGGCTTTAAATTCATGTGCTGGGAAGAACGCAGCGAACTCTTTTCTTAATCTATTATAAGTAAAAAAGAAAAGTTGTGAACTGTAATAGGTGCGGATAGAGTTATAGAAATCCGTTAAACTTTCAAACAGTTTTTCGCAAAACTTTTATTAAATTTTTCGACGACATTCTCCGCAGCTTATAAGTTATTAACCATAACATATATACGAGTTTAAGCATGTTCGAAGTTACCATCATTTTGAAAGTTGATCTCTGGCCAGGATTTAATTACTTATAATAAGTATAACACAGAGAAATAAAATCATCTTAGCTTGATTCCGAGGATATAAACATATTTTTAGAGTTTCGAGTATTGTTTTTTAATGTTAAAAACTTTTTTAACTTTTATCTTCATTGCTTTTAATCAAAACTAATCAATTGTTTTTGAAGAATAATTTTAACGACTTTTGAAGTTTGCAAAATGCTTACCTTTGAGTTTTTCACGGGCATTCTCTAACGCTGATTTACGTGAACTAACTGTAGATTCTGTTAATGAAAAGAAACATTTTGAAAAATTATTAAAATATTATCAAGTAGTTTAATAAAGGTATGAACATAAAAGAAAAGCAATTAAATTAAATGAATGTAAAAATAATATTCAAATCAAAAGTTGCTTGGTATCAACGAAAATGTCCGCCCACTGCATTTTTTATTCATTCAGTGACTTTGACTTTACTCGCATATGTTTACACTCATTTGCTAAAGATGAGAGCATATCAAATTTATCGAGTGCTTTATAGTACATGTGCGCCCCTCTTAAAGCATTTCAATTCGTTTCAATTAACGTAAGTACGATTTTCGACACAATTGTCGACTTTATGGACCCGACACTCGACCTGTGGACTTGAAAATTGAAACCAAAGCGTGCTGGCAGTCGTGGCCTGGAGACATCCTAACCAGCAACTATTTATCTTTCATTTTTTCCTTCAGTAATTTAGCAATCGTAACAACCACGATTCCGACTGATCAAGTGATATTTTTACGCATGTATTCTTATTTGTCATTAAGACATCGTTTTCGAAGCTTTTTTTTTTTTTTTTTTACATATTATTTGTATAGAGATGCACGAAGGCATTTATAAAAAATATTTAAAATTTCAACCATCATCATTGTCGTCATCATCGTGATGATCCCTATCATTATCGTTTTCATTGAGTATAATAAACTTAAAAATGCAAATAAAAATAAATAAACAAAAACATACGTTTAAATATTTATTTTTGTTGAAAATGTTTGCCTTACAAATTTGAAATTGTTATTTTAATTAAATTTTTTGTTCTCTGCTATTTGCTGCGAGAAAGTGAAATGTTTTGCTTAATATCGTAAATGCTTACTAAAAGCGTTATTATGTGTACATAGATGTAGGCGAACTTGTCTACGTAAAGGAAAATTATGATTTAGTTTGGTAAGTAAATCTTGTAAAAGTTTGCAAAGCATGCACTTTATATGTGTGAAATGAGAAAGAAAAACTTTGAATGCGCTTCAAATATTTAATCAATTTCTAGTTTGTCTGCTACGAGGGTCTTGGTCAGATTTTGTAGAAATGAATTTTAAACTTGAACTTTACCTTGTGCTCAGGCAATTGGATACAGTTCATAATATTCGGCTTTTCATTAAAATCTCCATCTAAATTTTACGAAGCGTTAAGCCCAATATATGGCATGTACCGGTTATGTATTCTAAATGTAGAACGAAGCGTTGAGCTGATAGGAGCATAAAACACATTCTCCTTGGGGAAAATCGGCAAAAACGTTAGTCTAGATCGCCGGCCTGCTGTTCGTCAAATTTCAAATAATTCAATTTGCTCGCACATAGCAGTGCTGCAAATGAATCGTATCTAACTTGATTAACCACTCCGTTGTGCAGCTTTCGAACGTGAAAAGCGTTTAAGTGCTTTTTTTTTATCCATTAGGTCGTAAAATGAGCGCTTCAAAAACAATGAAAATTGATACATTTCTCATAACAGTTGGGTCTCGTTCCGAAACCCGGAAAAAGTTGCCACCTCCCTTAAAGATCGAAGTTTTATGTATACAGCTTTTAGTAAGTATTTAAGTAATTAAAATGATTTAGGTAAATATCTCACTGCAGTGAAGATAAGTCATCAATAATCAGCATTTTTGTGGACCGTCTTTGCTAAGTTGCAATTTATTGCTAAATAAACACCAAACATGTAAAATAAGTATTAAAATGAAATAATATCAGCAAACGTGCACATAAAAAACATAGTAAGCCGCTAACTACGAACACAAAACCAAAAATGTTAAGTTATTGCTAATAAATCTCCTTCAAAATGACGTCACAAATACTAAAAGAACGCAATGTCAAAATCGTTTTATAACCTAGTTTCGTTACCCTGGCCCCGGTCCATCAGCCCCAAATTCGCTAAAAACACGCCCTCGCCATATACATAAGGCACTAAAGGCAAAATGTTGCTAATGAAATGTTCGATCTTTTATACATAATGTTTTTGTTTTTGTTGCTAATGAAATTTTCAATTTTATACGTACACAAATGTGTTTTGTCTTTACTTAAAACGCATGCTTACGATAACACATTAAGGGCATATGTTTGCAATGGTCGCGCGTTTGTCCGTGCACTTGGTTAAGAAGTTATATGATGGTAATGTTATTGTGTTATCCGTGCCTATTATCTTGTTCTTAAATATTGCGAAAGCTTTAGCTTCTTTGCACATCTCATCCAAATGCGATAGAGAAGTTTTACGAAGATTGGAAGATGTTCTTGCACATAAAACTGTTGCAAAATGCCCAAGTGCCTTGAACCTATCTCATGAAGTGGCAAAGACGGTGGATTTAAAATACCGCCGAATCTCCTTTTTATTTACAGTCCCTACTTTCAATTCTTGAAGGCGGCTAGATACATTTTTTTAAAAGTGGGCATAACATAATTTAATAAAAACTAATTTCTCTCTTACTGTATTTTCATTCCTTTCTAGCTTTTTATAACAAAGTAATTCTTGTAATTACTTTACGTACCATATTGTCTTTAAATAAAATGAGTTATAGGGCATAGGCTTAGAATGTATGACGTCATACGCAAAAGCCATTAACTGAATTTTTACCGAGATAAATAATGAGAAAGACAAATCAGGCAGTCAAGCGCACGCAAACATTTTTGCCATATCACATACTTTATTTGCCTATAGAATGTTTTGAATAAAATTATGCGCGATTCATATTTAGAAAAATGGCGAAAACCGAATAGTACGCATATAACTTCTTAAACAAGTGCATGGATAAACGCGCTAGTATTGCAAATATATGCATATATGTAATGTGTAATCTTAAGCATACATTTTAAGTGAAGACAAGAACATTATGTGTATAAAATCGAACATTTCAACAACATTTTTGCAACATTTTGCCTTTAGGGTTTTCTGTATAGGGAGAGGGCCTGTTTTAACGAATTTCGAGGTGATGGACCAGGACCAGAGTAATGAAATTAGGTTTTTCTGAGAGGTTTTAGCGTCCCTTAAGACATGTCACAAATGGACCGTTTTATATGTGCCAAGATTGCCAAGATTATTTAATTTTAATACTTAATTTAAATGTTTGTTGTTTATTTCGCAATAATTGTAACTTAGCAAAGACATTTTTAGTGAAAATACGGACCATAAAAATGTCGGTTATCTTGGTGGGCTATCTTCACTTCAGTAAAATATCGGTCAAAAAAATTGGCGTGAGTCCCGCGTCAAACCTGATATCCTTGTACATAAATCAAACTGCCAAGTTTCGTTTCATTTACATTACTTGTGCAACAAGATGTATTGAATTTGTGCGGATGTATGTTCATCGTTCAGAAGGAATTAAAATAAATCCACGTTTTTATTTCATAACATTTATTCCACTTCAATTCAGTTGCACTTTTTAAATTTAGGTTATACTATTTCAAGAGCTTATATAAGAAGAAGATTCCTTAATTACCTACATTACCCATATTAAATTATTTATTACAAGAAAAAAATATATCATTATAAAAGGGAAATGGATCGACAGTGAAAGACCACCAAACGTATGTTTGCGTCCAAGTTCGATACTTAAAGACCAGAAGCATCAGGGCTCAAGCGAACGCTAATACGGCGCAATATATATAGAGATTTTTGATATACTTTGTATGCAATTTGGTACAAAGGGTAATTTTGGAAGCGAATCGCCAATATAAGGTCCCATTTAGATCTTTCAAAATTTCTCGAGGAAAATGACTGCATATACTGGGATATTAAACTATTGGGGAGAATTTCTCGAAAAGTAGGTCTTTATAACACAAATCTGTTCATAACAGCCATTTGACATAAAAATTAACTGTTCAGACCTTGACGCATTTGTTTGGCCGCAACCCGATGTGGGGAGCCTTGTGTATGACAATAAAGCCGAATTCTTCTTACGGAAATAGATATAGATGAGG